TCAGTAAATGGCAATGACACTAAAACTGTGGCCATAGTGGGATTGAGTTGTTGTTCTATCCAGTTTATAATACAGGTCATTGGTCCAATACCTTAATACATAATATCGAGAGTAACCGAGGTTGACACTATTTCTATGCCACGGTCTCGTCGAGATAACGGAAGCTGAAAGGATCGAATTGTATGGTAACCATATCGTTGACAGGTAGCTGCTTCGCTGAATCCAAATCTATCGGGTGGCCATGATGCCTTGCTAGGGGCCAATCTTGGTCTATGTATTAGTGAGACGATTAATTGATGTTAATCGCGATACTATACACTATCGGTATGACGAGCAGCCTATGGGTCACACACATAGAAGATAATTTAAGAGCCAGCTTAGAAGGAAGGGGGTTTTGTCTTTTTTAGGTGAAAGGGTATTTTGGTAATTTCACAGTGCAATTAAATTTGCTGAGGTCGTAGCCTTTATTTAATTTGATATTAAAATTAAATAAGTGAGATTACGTTTAAATATGTGTTCGCATATATTTAAATAAATTATCATTATTGTTAAATGTTAATATATATATTGTAAATATATATTAATTGAATTTAATTGAGATAATGATAAATTAAAATTAAAATATCTTAAAGGGGATGTTTGGATACAGGGGCTGTTTGGGTTGGAGCCCAAGCCCATTCCATGATGGAATAGGGTATAGTATGCACTATATAAGTGCACACTTTGTGAAATATTTTAATTCACTCATTCAATCATTGAAAGAAAAAGTTCCAGCCCCTTTAAACACTCTCCACACCAGATTTCATTTTTCTTGGAATCAAATATACTTGATTTTCTTCTTGGTTCTTAAAGACTAAAGAGGATCTAGCAAATCTCTCTTTAGCTCCTTGAAGTTATCTTCGTGTGGACTTCATCGGTTCGATTCTACACTTGGGTCGGTAGCGAAATACATTTAGAAACAAGTTGGAGGAGCCTCCAAATGTGCGTATGATTTCTTAAACCTCTAAACTAAAATCTGCAGATTCTTATTTAATATATATATATATATATATAAACTGTAAATTTGTACCCTGATCTTGGTTCTAAGGAACGATCCATGTTGTAAATGTTTTTGTTTTTCCGCTGCCATGTATGATCATTTCCTAACAGTGGTATCAGAGCTTAGGGTACCAGATTTTATAGTTTTTATATGGATGGTTGTTTATATGTATTTGATTGATAACATGTTGCCTTGAAGAATCTGCACAAAATCTTCCATGAGAGCATGTTTTAAGAAATCGATTAATTTAAATTTGTTGATGATTTGCAACTTTGGAATATTTTGTTATGGATTTTTGTTGAAATCAGTAGAATGATTTCATAATCCATTTGGCGTATTATTGGTGGCTGGTTGAATTGATCTGGTGCTATAGATCAGTATACGCTTGCCGCAACGTGTGTTGTTGGCGTTCATGCTGATTACAAAAATCAGCGCTCGTCGCAATGATTGTCCTTAAGACGAACGTTGTTTGCAATCAGTGCTTGTTGCAGCGATCTAACCCATCGTCACAGCGAGCACACTTCCAAGTGCATAGGGGCTAGATTGTAAAGTTTCAAAACTTGTGGACTATTGTAATCTGTAAATTGTAAGGGGGTAATTAATAATTGACCCACCCAATTCAAAAATTGATTGTTTTTGAAATGTATGCCATGTACTTGTTTGTATATTGCATGGTGTCCAGTACATGAGCCTTAGACCTATGGTGAATGTTTTAATTTTTGGGTATGTATGGTTGTAATTTATAAAATAGGGCCTGCGTGTCCTGCCTTTCTCCTATTCTCGATGTACATTCTCTTCTCATCTCATTCTCCTCGAATGTAAATCGACGTTTCTAAATTTATTGATGTCAAGAATTTTGTATAATTATTCTCACTGTAAATTTAGAAAGATATTTTTGTAATGTACTTGAAGACGGATCAAGGAAAAGACGACCATACTTGAAGACTCAAGATTTTATTATAGGACCCCTAGGTGACCTACCGATTCCTATAGGCTCGAGGAAATCGGTTTTTTAGTTGGGCCATGTACCGACACATTTTAATATTTTGTTTAGAATGCATGCTAAGGTTAAATGTTCAATAACATGCCAAACAATGTCATTCTAACAAAGATAATAATCTGGTGAGACATTAAATAACAAACCCTCAATTAAAGGATATTAAGTCACGTAAGCCTTCCATCACTATGGTTTTAATCAAACCACTGTTCGTCGAAACCTTGTTCGGCAAAGCGAAGGGTACACTTCTACCAGTGGGAGGTTAAAATGCATTAGAGTTTTCCTTAATGGTGATGGGTCGACATAAAATGACGGTTTTGCTTGTTTGCCAAAGCGAAGGTTGATGAACGCATCATAGGCATAGTAGAGCAGTACACATATTGTGTGTACGTGGTGGCATGTAGTGTCCACTCTACTGATACTGAGAATCACACTTGAGGACAATGGTTGGAGCCATTGGATTGTATGATTGGCTTGTTGGCTTCTTCACATTTGAGGTTGATAGTAGGAGCTATCAATTGATGTGGATTAAGTTTGTTGGTCTACCTAATCAATTCATTTTGGCTTGTTCGCCAAAGCAAAGGTTTGAAATGGGCAGAATGGGATCTCAGTCCACTAGGAAAGTCAATGGGCTTTCCCGAGTTAGTAGTGAGGGCTACTGACTTGAGTAAAATAGTGGGAGCATCGTTTAATAAAAGACCATATTAAATAATAATGAACTTTATAATGACTTTATCTTTTTTGCAATTGTAGATTCACCAAAATGAGCATAATGAACCTACGACCGATAATCGAGAAAGAAAACAAGTTGGATGGATCCAATTTCTCATATTGGTATCGTAATCTTCAGATTATACTCAGGTCGAAAAAGAAATTGTATATCCTTGAAAAGCCATACATGGCTGAGCCTGATCCTGATGCCACTTAGGAAGTAAATGATACTTATCAAAAGTTCCTTGATGATGCTGATGACGTACAATGCTTGATGTTAGCATCAATGACACCAGTGCTGCAAAAGCAGCATGAGAATATTGACATTGTTGCCATTATTCTACACCTCAAGGAGCTTTTCGAAGGAAATGTTTGACATGATAGGTACAAGGTGTCGAAAGCATTTTTTGAAGTTGTCTGACTGAGGGAGCCCAAGTTGGTCCTCATGTGCTCAAGATGATTGAGCACATAGAGGGGCTTGAGACTTTGGGATTTGAGTTGGATGCAGAATTACAAATGGATTTTATTCTTTAATCCTTGCCTGACTCTTATGCACTGTTCATAATGAATTTCAATATGAACACGATGGTGAAAACCCTGTCGAAACTTTTAAACATACTGAGGACTACAGAGCAGGACTTGAAGAAGTCCAAGCCTGTGTTACTGGTTGCTACTAGTAAAGGAAAGGGTAATGGCAAGGGTAAGGGTAAGGCCAAGGCCAAACCCAAGCCCAAAGGACAGATTGCTCTTGGGCCTAAGAGTGGCATTAGGAAGGGCAAAGTAGTCTGCTTTTATTGTGGCAAGCCTGGCTACTAGAGGAAACATTGCAACGCTTTCCTCGCAAGCAAGAACAAGTCAAAAGCTACGACTTCAGGTATATTTATGATTGAGATTAACTTCTCTCCCACACCAGTTGATAACTCCTATTACCAACCTCAAATGTGAAGCAAGCCAACAAGCCAATCACACAATCCAACGGCCTAGCCGTCGTCCTCAAGTGTGATTCCCAGTGTCAGTAGAGTGGACACTACATGCCGTCATATACACATAACAAGTGTACTTCTCTACTATGCCTATGACGTGTTTATCAACCTTCGCTTTGGCGAGCAAGCAAAACTGTCATTTGAAGTCGATCCATCACCATTAAGGAAAAACCCAACGAATTCTAACCTGCCAGTAGAAGCGTATCCTTCGCTTTGGTGAACAAGGTTCTGATGAATAGTGGTTTGATTAAAACCATGGCGATGGAAGGCATACGTGACTTAATATACTTAAGTAGAGGGTTTTTTATTTAATGTCTCACTAGATTATTATCTTTGTTAGAATGTCATTGTTTGGCATGTTCTTGAACATTCAACCTTAGCATGCATTCTAAACAAAATAAAACGTGCCGGTACATGGCCCAATAAAACTGATTTCCTTGAGCCTAGAGCACAACAAGAATTTAGGCTTTTCGTAACAAAATAATTTGTCACTATAAATATCAAAATTGTGACCATTTCACTAATGTGGGGAATTATATTGGTCACCAGATTGGTCATATTAAGCTCGTACTCTTAAGTGTATGGTGACGAAAGAGTGTTTGGTCATCATAGCTTAATTATTTGTTATGACAATAATAATTTGTCATTGTAAACTAGTTTATTGTAATAAATTATTTGTAACAATAGACGACAATTTTTATCACTATAAGTAATATTTTGTCACAATTGATTTACATTTAAAGACCAAATGATAAGCTTTATAGTGAAAATATAATATATGATGACGAAATTGATTTTGTCAAAATTGTGACAATAATGACTAAATTATATTCTCATAATTTTAATAGTGATCGAAATTTATTTGCCATTGACTTTATTATGACAATATTTATTTGGTCACATGTTTATTTATATGATAATATTATTTGTCAAAAATTGCATAGTGACGAAAATAATTTTGTAAAAAATTTAATAGCATGACAAATAATTTTTAATAAACATATTTTTACATGACAAATTTTTTATTGACAAAAAAATATAGGCGTGACAAATATTTTTTGTCACCTCAATATACTTTGTTTCTCTATCTTTGCATAACCCTTCTTGCATATTTTTTGGGTAAAAGGTATTATATAAAGAATAAAAGAATTGCATCCCAAAAAGAAGAGCCCTACAAAAGTCAAGTTCCTTGGACAAGCCCAAGAAACCAAGCCAAAGAAAACAAAAAAGGTGGCATGGATTTACATTCCAAAAAAGCCAGCAAGCAAGCCTCAAAGAGGTCTCAACAAAATGACCAACAACACAAAAACAATGTCGGACTTTGGTATACAAAAGCCAACTACACATGCTATACACAAAAGAACCATCCACCCAAAGAACCCAAAAATTCTGCACGACTACTAAAATCCTGCTTATATACGCAACCAAAACAAGAAGAAAAGGAGGGAGCAGCAACATGCAATCTGTAAATAATTCCCCAGCGAAAAAAGCTCCAGAAAAGGTTCTGGTCAATGGCGAGAAAAGTCTTCTTCCAAGCCTCCAAGGTTTCAACATGGAAATATCTATGGCCCAAATAGTAATACTCGCCCAGCACACACGAATAAGTAAGCAAGAATGCAGCAGCTCCCTTGGAGGAAGAGACTTGGCAGCATCCAAAACCTGAAGAGTTCAAAAAAAAAAACAAAAACAAAAAAAGGGAAAAATATCGTCAATACAATATGAACAATGTTTATAGCATTAAAAGAATTTGGAAAAGCATAAAGTGGTAACATTCTTAAGAGAGAATGGAACTATAAGGTAATACAAAGTAGCTACTATTAGGTGTTAAAGGTGAGCCCATGAGGTTGGAACTAGTCAATACTGAGTAAAATACCCAAGAAAAACCAACGTTATAACTATCTCCATTGACCTAAAGCTAGGAGTATTTGGCACATAGGGGTTGATCATTACTTCAAACCGGGGCAACATCTTACAAATTATTTGCATTGGGAAACTTAAGATGATAAACTAACAAAATGATTTCCTGAATAAGCAGTTTGGTTGAAGGAATAAAAGCTACTAATTCATCAACACTAGCAGTACTCCCACATCAAAAAATGAACCAAGATGCTCAAGAATTAATTATATCTATAGAACTTGATCATAGTTGTACCCTTCAACAGAACACACTTATCTTCTTATTACTTAATTAAGGGATAATAGAATATATTAAGTGATAAAATGATGCATCCTCAAAGAAGTTATAATTCTAGATTAGTCTAGATTTCAACATTCATCATCCGACCAAGTGCATATCATACAAAAGTCATGCTATTTCATGAGATGCACCAAATGCTTGTAGTTTGATCCTCACGCTAAACATCCAACATATCATATCACAAAATAATGGAAAGTAATGTTTGTCTCTTACCCATAAGTGACATATGGCTCCACCTTTTACAGCTATTCTTATATGCCTTCACTAGCCATAGCGAAGACACCGCTAAAGATTTTCATCAATCTTAGTTTGTACAGGATCTTCTTAGTTTTTGGGTGCATGTCATTTTGCCTGAATAAAATGATAGTGAGATATCATAACCCAAAACAATACAAAGCAAAAAACTTTAGGCAAATCACAAAAGAATGCAACGTACCCTTGTATGCGTATGATAAAAAGAAGCTTAGATTTTGGCTCCACCAGAGCTGATTTTGCCCTTTTCCCTCTCTGTTTCATTCAGATAAGGTCTAATTCCTTTATAGAGACACAGGTTAGTAATTGCTAATATCAGACCATGTTTACACTAAACCGTAAATATTAAGGATAATAGGCAAACACAAAAAATTAATGTGTATCACAAACAAATTATCATCAAATAAATAATATTGAATGAAAGCTGAATCCAAGAACAATGGATTCAACAAGTAATATGATTTTGATTGCAATAAATCATAATAAAAAGACCAACAAACATGCTAAAATTTTGTCTCTATATTTCCACAATTATATATTACTACTCAATAAATTCCATTTTCCATTAATTTCTCCCACACAACCAACGCAATGCACCATATAATCAATTTAAACGCAATATGCCAACTCAAATGAAAAAATTTTAAGTTGAAAACGCCAGAGATTCAGTAAATAAACCTTAAAAATCAAACCTTCAAACGAAATTCACCGCTGTCGCCCACTGTTGACAATCCGCAGCCAGATGACTATTCTGTTCACAGTTGTAACAAGCCCCTCCATCGCCGCCCCTTCATCTTCTGCCTTTCTACCCACCGCCATCGCCTTAGCCTCCACCACCGTCCAGTTCACACCAGGCCTATAATAGCACGGTGCGATTTTGGAAACCAATGCACCCTTAAACGATAACCGCAACAAACAAAAACCTCCAAACTACGCATTATATTAACCCAACACAAGCAACCAGTGCACCCTAAACAACCATCAAATTCACCTTGAAAATGAACAAATCCATGAAAACATTAAACAAATAGTGAGAGAGGGAAAACAAGAATGAAGAGAAAAAAAGAAAATAAATTAGAGAAGGTGGCCACCTGCTAGAGTTCGTAGTGACTTCGATTGGAGGTTGTTAGATTTTGGGGCTGTTGGAGGGAAGTCGATGGGGATGAGGGAATGTGAGCAACAGGCATGAAAGAAAATTGGGGGTGGATCTTTTGGGGCGGTGGGGTGGGGAAAATAGATAAAAAGGGGCTGGGCAATTTTTTCTATTTATTTGAATTTGATTTTTTTTCTTAATTATTAAAATTGGTTATTTATTAATTTGTATTTTATATATTTTTTTCTTTTGTTTAAAAAACTTAATTTTTTTCTTTTTTTTAAAAGACTGATTTTTAACAAAAATAAAGATGTTTATCTTTAATATATAAAATATATATTATTATTCATCATATCCAACACAATTTATATTATTCGACCCTCCATAATTTTTATAGATTTAATGACCCAAACTTTTCAATTGAGCATTTTTAGGTTTTTATATATGTTTAATTAATCAATTACTTATGCTTATAAAAAAACTAGAAAATGTCTATGGTTTAATATATAAAATATATATTATTATTTGTCATAACTGTAAATATTGTAATTGATTTTTTGTTGTAATTTCAAGCTAATACATATTCATCATTTACATGCATATATATTCTCATTCACCCTGTAAAATTAGAAGTTTAAATCAATCACTCAATCGAGTCTTTGCTGCAATAAATTAGAAATGACAAATTTAATTAAGTAGAGTATTAACTAAACCACATATCAAACACTCACCTCAAGGATATCTTGAATTGTATAATTTATCTCAATCTTCTAATTTCATATGATCATATACTGTATATACTTTATTACATGACAACCAAAAACAATAAAAGAATTTCAAAGAGGATGAGACAACCGCCTGTATGGTCTAAAATTATGTTATTCATTAATCAAATATTGGTTGTAGGGTCTTTTCCTGATATTAATTAATTTAGTCAAATTTTATTGGTCTAGAGTTATTATTAGAAGATGGAGTAGTATTAGAATTAAGTATTACTACATATGATTAACTTGTAAGTCTATATAAGAAGCCTAAATCATGGATTATCATTGTATTTTTATTGGATTAGGATATATTCTAATATACTAAAATGGGTTCTTTTTTTCTCTTTTCTTTTTTCAAATTAAGAGTAAATTGTGTGTAAAGATCATTGGTGGAGCTGCGAAACATTAATGAAATAAATTTAAAAAAAAAAAAAAAGACGAAAGAAAAAGCCAATTTTTAAAAAAGGGTACTGGAAGATTCAAACCTATGCACTCTTCCCTTTAACCACTTAAGCAAACCAACTCATTTTTTTTCTTTTTCACTATATATATATTATCTATCTAAAAATACAAACTCACAGCCAAAGTGTGAGGGAAACAATTGCGTTTTAGAGTATGTTTGTCCCTTCTCCCTACTTCTTCTCCTTCTTGTGTTTTATTTTTCTTCTTTCAGGATTTGGTTTTTCCAATTCAGTTTTACAAAAAATAGAAGAGATCAAAGGCAGCTCACTTCACCCAATTCAATTTTTCCCTTTTGCACCCAATTCAAATTTTCCCTTTTTTGTTGTATCACCAAAGAAAATTAGGAGAATCAAAGGAGAGTTCATAAGGAAATTCCTTTTTTCCTTTTTTAGCCCAATTCAGTTTTTCCCTTTTACCCTTTTTGTAACCATGGCTGAATCGATTTATTTTTATAATTTCATATTTGATGTGAACGTGTAATACAAAAATTAATATTGTGGGTCAACCTAGGTGTTTAAAAGTAAATCTTGGGTCTTCAAGTTATTCCTCTTCATAGCTCCTTCGTTTCTTTTTCACAATCATTACAAAGTATTTTATAATAAAAAATCCTATTCTAATTTACATCGATAAAATAGAAACCTCATATTACATACAAGGGGAGTGAGATGAGAAGAAGAAATACATGAAGATATAAGAGAGAGAGAGAGAGGACACACATGTCCTATTTTTACAAGCAAACCCAAAATTACAAAAACATACCAAAGGTCTAAGGCTCATGTACCGGGCACCATGCAATTTCAAACAAGAACATTGCATACATCCAAATTAACATTTTGAATTTGGGTGGGAGGAATTATTAAATTAACCTTCTTATATGTGCAGAATTATTATTGGCTTTATAGGTTCAAAAACTACAATTTGGCCCCCTGTGTGAAAACCAAAAAAGGAAAATGGAACAGTAGCTTTCTTACTGTGGCGAAGTTCATACACACATGGTTGTTGCATTGAAGTTTTATTTCGCCGTAGCAAATGCCATAAACTTCTAGAAAACACAAAACGTTCAAGAGAGATTTATGCCGTAGCAAAGTTTTATTTCCCTGTGGCTAGATCTACTTTTCTAGTAGTTCGTCACGGCGAAGGTTTATTTCACTACGCCCAGATTCACTTTTTGTATCTCACCACAGCGAAGTGTTATTTCGCTGCGGCTAACGCTACAAAACAATGAATTACACAGTAACCCTTTTTGCAGTTTTCACATAAAGATATGGATCCAAATCAAATCGAATGAACAAGCATTCGACCAGGACATCAACCAACCAATAAGTGACTCATCAACACATCATTAGTCAATCTATCAATTAAAGCAATCAATATACAAAATCCACCAGATTCATGAAAACATATTATGCAAAAAACATGTTATCAAACAAATCATGTCATCAAACATAATGATTAAAACAAATAATCTAGTACCCAAGGCTCTGATACCACTATTTGCATGTGATCAAGTTTACGCAGCGGAAAAACACAATTTCAAAACAAATAAAAACCGATTATATGCTTTGATCCCAAATCTGGGTATAGATTATAATGTTTACAAGTTTTATATTACAACAATATGATAAATCCATACAAGGATTCAAAATGCTTACACACATTGGAGGCTCCTCCGAATATTTCTGATTACACGCATGAACACTATTCACAGTATTGTTCACCGGACACTGTTCATCAGACACTGTTCACGTGATTCTTTGCTAATCGATCCAAAGTAGGATCGCACTCACGGAAATCCACACGAAGACAATCCGCAGAACCCTTGATTATTTTGCTAGAACAAACAGAGGGCTTCAAGAATCAAGAAAGAAGGAAAAGAAATTTTTTTCTTTTCAGTCAAGAGTGAAACGTGAGAGAAAGTAAAAAGGTGGCTAGGGTTTTAATTTTATTGGATGAATCAATTCACTTTTATTTTAATTTTAAGTTGCACTTATATAGTGCAACAAATAAAACCCTATTCCACTTAGGAATAGCCATGGGCTTCGACCCTAGTTCACCCTTGCAACCAAACACCCCTTTTATGGTATTTTAATTATTAATTATTATTATAATTAAAATCAATTAATACGTAATAATATATTAACATTTAATTAATAATAATAATTCATTTAAATATATACATAGGTATGTTTAAATGTAATCTCACTAATTTAATTTTAATATTAAAATTAAATACAGGTAACAACCTCAGCAAATTTAATTGCACTGTGAGATTATCAAAATACCCTTTTGTCCTGAAAGATGAAAATACCATTTATCACAAATTGATTCTTAAATTATCTGCTAAGTATGTGACCCGTAGGCTCTTCATCATATCGGCAGTGTGTAGTATCGCGATTAACACCAATTAATCATCTCACTACACACAAACCAAGATTGGCCCCTAGCAAGGCATCAAGGCCACCCAATAGATTTGGATTCAACGAAACCGCAGCCTGTCAACGGTATGGTTATCGTGCAATCCAATCCTTTCATCATCTATTATCTCATCGAGACTGAGGTATAGAAATAGTGTCAACCTCAGATGTCCTTGACATGTTTGTATTCAGTTAATGGACCAATGATCGGAATAATAAATTGGATTGAGCATCAACTCAATCCCGCCGTGGCCACAGATTTAGTGTCATTGCCATTTACTGAATAACCCAGTGAGATAACTTCTCCCGTGCCTAGGAGTAATGAATCCTTTGTCGATCCACCATAGTCTCAATACACTTCTCAATGTAGCCAATCACTATTGTAATGATAGCTCTGAATAGAACTACGTTGGGCTAGAGTCAAACTACACCAATTGGTGCACAAGGCGCCTCGGTGATCTCAAGTCTAAGGATCACATGCACCACCATCCGTTAGAGGATTTATTCCATAGACACTAGGGTTACCATCCATATGGAATCCTCTGGTGGGTTTGTTTAGTGAACTTGCCTCTAGCAAGTACCCATCCATTGC